CAGGTATTTCTGAATCAAGCTTGGCAACCAGCACGTGACAGGGGAGCAGTTTATTTAAAACTTGTTACGGTCAGACTGACTCCTGCTAACTGATCACACTAACTACATAAAGTGTTTCATTTGATTAATACCAAACTGCTTAATGTCTGTGCATGTCTAAGTCTTTTCTTCCAAACTGCATAACTTACTTAGTTTCCGTTCGCTTACACCCGGAAACACGTTAGTTCAGGCTAACTGTTGACACGCAGAAACAACAAAGGCTAACAGAAAAACACCAAAAGGAAAAAAAATCATTATTCCTTTAGTCAAACAGATAAAGTGCACTCACCGTGTTACCGCTGTCTTTATTCGATTTCACATTCAGGAGATAAGTTGCGCCTGCAGCCGTCAACCATCACACCAGTGGTCATATGACTGCAGCAGGTCACGTGTCCCCACGTGAACTTTTGAATCTGTAGTCATAGATGCGCTTTCGTACCGGAATATGTACATGCACATTGAGAGATGATGTACCAGAGTCAAATTCCTCGTGTGTCCGACACACCTGGCCAATAAATCAGATTCTGGGCTACTTTTTCATAGTAGGACTTCCCAGTGGTGTGGTTCCTAGAGTCCACAGAAGCAGAATGGGAGGCAGATCCTTTAACTATCAAGCTCCTCTCCTATGGAACCAACTCCCAGTCTCAGTTCGGGAGGCGGACACCCTCTCTACCTTTAAGATTAGACTTAAGACTTTCCATTTTGATAAAGCTTATAGTTAGGGCTGGATCAGGTGACCCTGAGCCGTCCTCTCTAAGGTCTAAAGTCCCACATCCTCAAAGACTTATTTTGTGGGTTTAGGGCTTTTTATTTGACATTTTTCACTTTCCTCACGGTCAAGACATTTCCGGGACCGACCGAACACAGCCGAAGAGAGGCAAGTGTCACTTACCTAATCAGTTTGTTTTTGTCGAAATGGCATCATTAAGCCAAATTTTTTTTTTTTGATGAAATAGGTGCGTAGAGTTACAGTATTTAGCAGATGCCTTTGCCCAAAGCGACATACAAAAACATTACAATGACATAAGTTAACATAAGACGACTGCCGGGATGCATGATGTTCTGAGCTCCTCTCTTCTCCATCCATCTATATGCCACCACTACCCATCACTGTGTCCTCTCTCTTTATATTATATTTATTTTATTTTATTTACTTTTTAATATCAGCAAAACGAGAGTATTTGTCAAATATTGTGTCATAATCCGTGTGTCCTGTTTAAAACAATTGGGTCTGTGCTGGACCCTCCAGTCTACCTGCTTGGAAGCATCGGTTGAGCTGTGTGATAACTTTTTACGGTTTTTTAATGAGAAGGTTGCTATTATAAGGGCGTCTGTTCCAACTTCTGTTTTAGATCCTTCTGAATGTGCCCCTTGCCTGGCTGTTTTTGATGCATTTGAGCCTGTGACTTTCCCATTTTTGGAGGAGGTGGTTAGCCAGGTTAAGCCATCTGGCTCCCCTTGAGATGCTATTCCCTCGTCTTTATTCAAGAAGGTCTTTCCTTGTATAGGAAAGCTGGTTCTGGCTATTATTAATAGCAGTATGTCCTCTGGTGTTGTCCCTGGACATTGTAAACATGCAGTTGTGCAACCTTTGTTCAAGACGTCAGGTCTTGATCGTTCTATTCTGAATAATTACAGGCCTATTTCCAAGTTCTCTTTTATTTCGAAAGTATTAGAGAAAGTGGTTTATATACAACTGAAGTCTTTTTTTAGATGAGCATAATGCATTGGAGGTTTTTCAATCTGGTTTCTCGGCATAGTACAGAGTCAGCGTTGTTAAAGGTTTTTAATGATATTTACCTGGCAACAGATGCTGGTGGCTATGTGATTCTTGTTTTGCTGGAGCTGACTGATGCTTTTGACACGGTTGACCACGATATCCTAATATTTTGATTTAAGGAGTTAGTGGGCATCCGTGGTACTGCCTTAGAGTGGTCCAGGTCTTATTTATTGGATAGGACAATGTCTGTCGGGTTTGCTGTTGTCGAGTCCTCATCTACCCCGTTGGTATCTGGGGTTCCGCAGGGCTGTTTTGGGGCCCCTGCTTTTCTCTTTATATTTACTTCCTCTTGGTTGTGTTTTTAGAAAACATGGTGTTTCTTTTCATTGTTATGCGGATGATGTGCAGATGTACTGTACATACCAATGAGGGGAAGAGACATCAGTTGTATCATTATTGTCATGTTTTAATGACGTTAAGGAGCTGGATGGCTTTGAATTTATTGAAATTAAATGATATGAAAACTGAGGTTATAGTGTTTGGCCCAAATAATTTTGATGATTCTCCCCCAGTTGATCTAGGTTGCTTGTAGCAGTATGTGCAGTCGACTGTTATAAGCCTGGATGTCAAAATAGATTCCATTTTTAAATTGGAAGGTCAAGTGAACGCAGTTGTAAGGGCTAGCTTTTTTCACCTTCGACAGCTGGCAAAGGTAAAGCCTTTTCTTTTGCGGCAGCACTTTGAGACAGCAATACATGCATTTATTACGTCTCACCTGGATTATTGTAACGCGCTCTATTTTGGGCTTAGACGTCCCTTGCCCGTCTTCAGAGAGTTCAAAATGCAGCTGCTCATTTACTGGTTGGGGGCCGCAAAGGGGAGCAAATCACTCCCATTTTGGCTTCTTTTCACTAGTTGCTGGTGTATTTTAGAATCCATTTTAAGATTCTTTTATTTGTTTGTCTTTAAATGATCTGGCCCCCTCTTAAGAGTTGTTGCGTCCCTATAGTCCTTCTTGGTGCCTCAGACCAGCTGCTTTTTGAGATACCGAGGGCTAGGTTGAGACTTAGGGGGGGATAGGGCTTTTGCCGTGGAGGCTCCAAAGTTGTGGAATTCATTGCCCCTATACATTAGGCAGGCCCCCTCGTTGTCCAGCTTTAAAATGTATTTGAAAACTCATCTGTACCTTTTGGCAACATGTACTGGGATATCAACAGCAACTGTAATATGTGAAGTTTAACTGCAATGGGACACACTGTAGTACCAATACACAGTGTGTGGTACAAGCTGTTGGAAATCTCAGGTTAAACCTTCATGATGTGAACTTGAGTTGGTTTGCATGCCGCCCCTCTCTTGTTAAACACTGAGGTAAACTGAACTCTGATTGGCTGTTACTTCAGACCTTTATTGGTTACCATAGAAACTGGACAGTCAAGCTGAAATCCAACCTCCACCATAAAAAAAAAAAAAAAACTGTACAACAGGCAAATGTGAGGAGGCAGAGCTACTTCAAGGCCGGGGGGGCGGTCTCATCCCTGGAGGGGGTGGCCCTAAAAAAGAAAAGTAGTCACATGATGTTTACAGTGAAAATAATTATTAATGGTGCAATCTGACTGGCTCCTTGCAAAGCCCATGTCCATGGTAACAGCTTACCTCTCATGCCAGGGGGTGGAGGCCTCATGCCTGGAGGGGGGATCCCCATAGGCGCTCCTCGACCCGGACCAGGAGGCATCCCCATCGGAGGACCCATTGGAGGCCGCATGCCAGGGGGTGGACCCATCATACCTGCAGGAGGGGAGCCAAGTAACAACCAATCAGCTAACAGGAGGACAGAGTGGTACAAGGCTGCATTCACAGCAGTACCAGGGGGGCACTGCGCAGAAAACCAGATCCAATAATGTACAACAAAGGTCACGTCCCTGTACATTGCTTTGTAACAAACGACTTATTTCTGATATTCAACTCAACGGCGTCATGAGCAAAATTAAGTCATACAATCTTCATACAACTCAGCTGTGTTGTGGAGTCTAATAACATTTCAAGTCTGGGCAAAGCAAAATTCTGTGATTTGTTTCTAAATATTATCAATGTCAGAAAATAGTTGCTGAAAGCATGAAAAGACGGAATGAGAACCAGGTCGTGCTGAACTGTGGAGTTAAACCGTTTCATCATTCTTGAGTTGAGGATTTTGTTTGGCCAGGGCAGAAAGCACGGCTCAGTGACGCACTGGAGTGTGCGTGGGAGCCGAGCACCACTGCTCTCGTTCAAACACCAACACAAAGGAGGCTAACTCCGGCTCCATAAACACCAAAACCATGTTTTGAATCTCAGTCAGTGGTCTTTGAGAAAATGCTGCTGTAGAGTCCTAGCACAGTAGCACCAGCTCTCCTGTGTGATCTTGAGTTACTACACCTACAGTTTGCTTGCTAGCTAGCTAACTAACTAACTATGCCTGCACCCCAGAAATGCATCTTTCCTGCAAGTTGTCCTTTACATCCATGATGAGAACAGATGGCACATATGTGCGATTGGGCACAATTTCAATGTTTCACCTGATGCCCCTGGCGTTTCAGGGCAAAGAATGCTCCTCATTTTTTCACACTTGTATGTTTTTAATCATTCGAATTTGGCTGGGTAGTTAATAACATCTTCCTGTGGTGTGATGAACACAGAACATTTATTTCTACATTACCTGAACATTAAACACAAACCTGCTCCCCCATTCTAAACCACATTATGCCACAGTTAAAAACTGTATTTAAGGGCCAGACTCTAGGACAGGTAGCAGTGCAACAAGCTGTTCATCTTCAACCAGCTCTCAGTGGGTTTCACAGCAGAACATCATAGTTTTAATGAACTGATACTGACTGAATGAATTTTACTTTGCATGTGCAGCTGCAGCACAGGACCCTGTGATGAACAGTGCGAGTGAGTGCAGGCTTAATGAATGGCACAGAGCAGGGACAGAGTCTGTGCTGAAAGCCGTACAAGTCATCAGCACAGCGCCCATGGGTTAGCCCACATTCAGACTGTTTCATTGGTGTAAAAAAAAAAACAAAAACAAACAAACAAAAAAAAAACAGTGCCCTCTTCATTCATTTGGGCAATTGTGTTCAGAGTCAGCACCGACGCCGCAGGGGGGCTCCGGTAAAATAATGCAACTCTGATCACTGAAAAAGTTGGATCTGATTCAACTTTTTCAGTGAAAGCATCCAGCCAAAGGCGCTGCTTTGCCCAGTCACATATGTGACATGGTCAGAATGCGGACACCCATGGGAAGAAGACCGTTTTGTTTACCTTGTTAAAATGAGCATTTAATGCACCATAACACGCCATGCATTTTCTTTAGTGTTAAACCGGGCTTTTTTTTTCTATATCTATAAAAGGCTGACATGTTTGGTGAAGAAATTGGTGCTAAGGACCGGTAGGCTATGTTAGCAGCATAGCTAACCAAAACAACGGAAACCGGAATGAAGGTCAACTGAATGAAGCCACTCACCACAAAGTGGCAGTACCACACCTGCGACACCCCCCATTTGGTACATGACTGTTTATAACATGTTACAGGTAACATGTTTTCTAGGGTGTTACATAGGATGGGACAATACATCGAAATTCTGTATATCACAATATGTATTGTTTTGTGTAGCGAGATATATATATATATATATATACACACACACACCGTAATTTCCGGACTATAAGCCACACCGGACCATAAGCCGCACCCACTAAATGTAAGATGAAAAAAAAATTTTGTACGTAGCCGCAGGTGTCCACGTTGTAACATGAGATATTTCGACAGCCAGATCGATCATCTGCAACTTGAAGCAGCATCATATGCATTTCGTCGTGTGTTGTCCATGAGGGTGTGTGCATGAAGCGACAAAAGTAGCGGCTTAGTCCGGAAAGTACAGTGTGTGTGTGTGTGTGTGTGTATTAT